TCGAAAATTGAAAAACCCATAAATTGAAAAATTCAAAAATAGACTATCCATTGCGATAACTCCGTCAGTGGCGGTGGTGGATACGAAGAAGGCTTAATGGGTGACTGAAGCGATCTGACAGATTTCTGATCGAGAACATAGTACATAATGCTTATCATTTTGTGAGCGAGAGTTCCATTTTTATTCTCTACGGGCACCCAAAACAAAAAGTAATGAAGATAATTGTAGTAGTCGGGTAAAGTTTTTATATTAGTCATTTCTTCGACGCCTGAATTATAAGCGTCAGAGACCGCCTTCTCAAATTTGCTCTCCCATTTATTGCGTTTAATCATGTTCATCAGCCCCTGAACCATTGGGTGATAGGTTGCAGGTGTAGGAAAAGGTCCAAGTACATGTTCAGACATGGTTGATTTTTTTTTTTTTTTTTTTGAAATTGAAATTTTTTTAGAAAGGCAGGACAAGGCTCTTTAAATAATAAATTATGAGTTATGAAAATGTGATGTTAATTACTAATTATTGAAAAATTATCTGCTAGTCAATACACCTATTCCTAATTCGATTGGTGGCTGAAAAAAAAATTACAATGCGGACAGCATAAACTATAGATGTAGAAAATATAATCGATGACGTACCATTTTTGTACGCCAAAAAGTTACAACTGACATTTTTGTAATGTAAGATAAATGCCGTAATATCGAGTTATGTCTTGGCTTCAGGTATGTTATCCGATGATACCAATCATCGTTATATGAACTCTTTATATTAAAAATGAAGTTAGGTCCGTTTGAAATTCTTTTAAAATAGTGAATTTATTAACATAAATTTTTTCTATGATGGGATATTTCACTAAAATGACTTATAAATTGCTCTTTATATATAATATATTATAGAATGTAAATTCTCAAAAAAAAAAAAAATTCGTATACGTAATACATGGTAAGATAAAGGGTATTGATTGAACTCATTCACCCCAAATTCTCTACGCTCTTTTGTTTAAAACTTCAACTTATATATTATGTAAATATTTCCATCAAGGTGAAAATCTGCCATCGGGATTTTGAATTATAATTTACCGATAAATTTGTAACCCAATAAGTTAAAGCTATTTTTATAAAGTTGTAACCATTATATTGTGGGAAATCACATGATTCTGCTAATAAGGGATAATGGACGCACCTGCTTACACCATTTTGAAAACAGCTGTAAATTACGTTAATCACATTATTTCATTTCAAGAAAGTTATTATCCTATATTACTAGAATTATGTTTCACAAATGACGGCTGTTACAATATACGACACTTTGATGTAATTGCACATCTTTTTTTGACGTAATGTACGTCACCAAATTACTAAATTCTTAACTCTGATTGGCTGATTTTATATAATCAATTTTTTTTTTTATATAATAAAAAACGCCAAATTTTCAAATTAATATAAACTAAATTAATATAACTGCTTAAATCCTTTTTTGGCAAAATTGCAACTTACGCTTAGCGTTAGACTTAAAGCTGCAAATCAGCTAAAAAAAGGTTTTAATTTAAGATGTATTATTTTTGTATAAAAATGGTACTGATTGCAGGATTGATGCTGTCCTTCACTGTATTGATTTAGGTAATTTTCTATACAGTAGTAAATTTCAAGCCTTGCTTTTTTAAGATTATCGGAAGACATTGGCAATTTTAGAAGTCTGACTTGTATACTCATGGCGTATACGTCTTACCAGTTTTAAGTTAGACGGTGATTTATACCCGGGTATCTAATTATGATATATTCTATATGTATCATACCGGGTAGATATGTTATGCGCCATCAATTATTAATTGACGTACGTACGTACGTATGTCAATTTTCAATTTCACCGATTGAAAAATGACCCGAGTCGTATCATATGGGGTCTTTGCCTTGAAAATGACCTTACGGTATCATGTACCGTAAGGTCATTTT